GCAACAGTTTATTCAAAATCTTCAGTCATCTTCTGCCCCCATCAATAATGAATATCCTCATGTATATATAAAAGTAAAAACAACCACCCGAGTGACATTATAATTATATTCCATATAGTTGTAATTGTGGTTTTCATCAGGATTATAAATCCCCATCATCTTAGTGGGTAACAGCCAGATCTTCTGCATGCCCCAGCATGACTCTCTTGCCTTGTAACTCAAAATAGATATAATATATTTATCGGTAAAGGAAATCCAAAGTAGATAGTTCAAATCCAACAATGTAAGGCTCTTTCCACATCCCAAAATCACGGCATTGCAGAGATCTGCCACTTTCCTCAAGATAGTATTAAACGATAATTCGCCTCCAATATCTTTTCACATATTCATTTATTTTTTTTAAAATCCCTGGCTTCACTGTTGCTTGGTTTAGAAACTACTATTTCTACGAGATCTGTTTCTTTTCTTTTTCTTTTGCGGGTTGCATTTCCATCCAGATTTCCTTCCTACAAGTTGTGTATCAGCTGATCGGTTGTCATTCTGCTTTATAAATTGATCTTGTTGGTTTTGTTTTATTATCTCATATGCCTTTTCCATCACTTGCATATCAACTGGGTGATTTACGCACTTGTCTGTAAGTTGATAGTTCATCACATTAGAATCAGATGACACTGCTCTCAAATTTATAGACAGTCCAGCTGGGGTATCCAAGGAGTCCAAAGACAGTTTATCTACCACAGCCTCTGTAATTTGATGTTTTCCCTTTATTTCCAACTCCTTTTGCTTGTCCTGTGTTATGCCTAAAGATGTTAGATTTATTTTTAAAATTTTTTGATAAAATTCTTCCGCTTTTTCGACAGTATTCAGTTGGTATCTTACTCCTTGGTGTCTCAATATTAAACCAACTGGGACATCCCACCTAAATAGAATATTCCTTTTTTTTAACTCATTCACTAGAAAACCAAATTTCTTCCTCTCCATTAACATCTTGGGCGGGAGTTCCTTAAAAATCCAGATCTTCCTTCCACGAAATTGCAAAGCAGAATCATAAGAATTCTGGACAATATTATTTCTAATTTCTTTGTCTGTAAAATAAATCACCACATCTCTAGGCAATTGCCTTTGTTTTGCCAACCAGGAGTTTATTCTATAAATTCTGTCAATCCTGCAAAACACTTCATCAGGTTGAACCTTTAAAATCCCAGCCAGAATTTCAGAAGATATCTTCCTTAAATCTCTGTCATCTTCCTGCAAACCTCTCAGTCTAATTGCATATTCTGTAAAATTGTATTGGATCATTAAAACTTCTCTTTCAATCCTCTGTTGTACATTTTCTTCATTAACAGTCTTTTGATCAGCCTCCATTTTAAGTTTGTCTTCTGAACTATTATCCTGAATGTTTGCCAAATCCTTTTTAATTTTTTGGATCTTGTCATCCAAATTCTCCTCAGTTTCTTTCATTTTAGAGTTAGTATTTGCTTCCAACTGAGTCATAAAGTCTGCTAAGCCATTAGCTACTTTTAAAATCTTTCGATCCAAAAAGCCAAACTTAGATTTCACCAATTCACCAATTTCTTTGATTTCCAACTTAAATTTTTCAAGTTGCTGATTCACAATCTCATCCCTTCTTACAATCTCCTCAAGAAGAAATTCTATTATATTAAAGTCAGGTTTCTGAGACTGGAGAGTTAAAACTTGTTGATGTAATTTATTAATGGGGGAATCCCCCCCCCACTGCCTGTTTGTCTAGTTTTATAAGTCTCAGTGCCATTTTTCCACGCAGACAAAATTTACTGGAAAAGAGAGGAAAAAAAAACTTTTTTTCCAACCAAGATCAATATCAGATCCTCAAAGAGAGAAAAAAAAAAAGAAAAAAAAAACAGAAGTGAGAGTGAGATTTTACCTTCAGTTACAGCCAAAAGTATTCATTCCGCTACTTTGTAATTGAAAACGGAAGGAGTTTCCCTTTCAGCCTCTCTTCAAGCCGCAGCAGCAATTGCCATTTTAAAAAAAAAACTTTTTTCCCTTCACTTCACTTCTTAGGCAAAATAGAATAAAAAGAATACTTGCGCTTCAGGATCAGAGGTCCAGCTCATATCTTCTTTAATTAATTTATTTGACAGATTTACAGGCTTGCTTTTGCCCCCTAGCTCTGCGTGTAGCAGAGATTTCCCAGAGCCCGGAGCATCGGCTGGGGATACGGGGAGTCTCTTCCGCTCCCTCCCAAAAGTAAATAAAAAACTTTTGGGATTAGGCAGAGGACTCTACCCACCCCAGCCGGCTCTATCTCCGTTTCCTAATGGAAACGGAGTTTTTTCGAGCTGCCATTCCGCTGAAAAAGGCGGCTCTTACAGGCAGTGGGTTCGACGATCCCGGAGGAGCGTCCAGCGGGAACAAGCAGCAAACCGGAAGTCACCTTCCAGTGTTTTGATCTTGAATATCCATCTGGTCCCTATGGGGTTTTTGCCCTCAGGTACCTTAGCGGGTGTGAAAACGTTCAGCTCCTTGAGGCTGTCCATCTCCTTCTTTATGGCAGCCTCCCATTTGGACCTTTCTTCTTTGGGGAGTTTGATCACCTCGTCATAAGAATTTGGTGTGATGGGACTGGGATGTAGGTCATCACGTAATCCTCGAGTCTCTTGGGCATTTGGTTCCTGGTAGTTCTGACTGGTCTGTTGGGGGAGGATTCGGCGTCATGCAGATATCTCGCTTCCTTTTGGGTGAGTGAATCTACCTTCAACTTGGGGTGGCCTTCTTTCCATTCGTTGATCTTGACCTTCTGGCGTTTGGGTTTGACCCCATCTTTGTGTGTGCTATCGTGTGTGTTTGTGTTGTCTTGGCCTTGTATGTCGTGAGGTGTCTCTTGCCTGTGGTATATTTCGTTCAGGTGTATTTTGGACCAGTTGGTCTGCTCATGGAATGTGGCTGTGCTGGATATTATGAATCGGTTGTTGTTATCTATGAATCTAAACCCTTTGGTCCCTGGCTCGTAGCCCATAAATCTTAACCTTTTGGACACCTTGTCTCCCTTGCGGCGCAGCTGCTTGGGGATGTGCACATTGGCGGTGACCCCGAATACGTGCAGGTGTGCTATTCTTGGCTTCTTGCCATACATTAACTTGTAAGGTGTCTTGTTGATCACGCTGGACCATAACCTATTGAGGGTGTAGTTGGAGTACACCAGGGCTTCGGACCAAAAATGTTGGCCAAGCCCGGCATCTTCTAGGGCGCACCTGACCATGGTCTGTAGTGTGGAATTTCTTCGTTCTACGATGCCATTTTGGAAGGCCAAGAACGGGGAGGAAGTAAAGTGTAGGATGCCCTTTGACCTTAGCCAGTGTGTGAAGTCCCTGGACAGGAATTCTGACCCCCTGTCAGTCATTATTTGTTTTATTCTGGAGTTATTTTGGACCTCTACCCATTTGTAGAACTCCTTGAACTTCTGATATGTTTCACTCTTGTGTTTCAAAGTGTAGACAAAGCCGTAGCGACTGTAGTCGTCTACTATGGTGAGGAAAAATCTTTTGCCGTATTTTACGGATGGCCTTAGGGGCCCTACTAGGTCCATGTGTACTAAGTTGAATGCGCGGTCGGTGGTGCGTGTAGCTCCCTTGGTTTGGGTGCAACTTTGAGTTTTGAACACTTACACACTGAGCAGTCGAGGTAAGTTTTGCAGTTTTTTATTTTGATGCCTTCGGTACAATCAGTCATCTTTTGTATAACTGGGAAGCTGGCATGCCCTAGCCTGCGGTGCAGTAGGTGAGCACAATCATCATGAATGGGCTTCCCTGTGGCGATCTTCCCTACGTAGTGCGTGCAAGTGGTTTTGCCTGTTTCTGCTTCTACGCTGGTGTTAACGCTGGGGGTGTCAGTGCCTTCTACGTGTAGGTAAAGTAACCCCTTTCTGATTATGACTTTCCCTATGTTCTCGTTGTGTTTGTACATGAGTGCCTCCCCATCTTTGAATAATATTTCTATCCCTGACTCCTTGCTAAGCTCCAGCACTGCTAGGATGTTGTGGGGTATTTCTGGGACTAGCAGCACCCCCTCTATCTTCCCTATCCCTGGAAGAGTCATGTTCCCTTTTCCTGTCACCTGCACTTCACTCTGGTTGGCTACTTTGATTAGAAAGTTCTCCTCTGTGAATGAGGAGAGTAGCCTCTTGTCATAGGTGGTGTGATTGGTGGCCCCGGAGTCAATGAGCCACATGATGCCTCCTTGGTCTAACTTCGGGGTTTGCGAAGTTGAACCAGTTCTGCTGTCCCTGGAGCTGTCCCTTCTATCCCTTGAGAGTCCCTGCGCCTATGTCTGTGGTCTGGCGGGTGCCTATCTTGGTATCTGTTCCTGTGCTCACGCCTATCTCTCTCTCTAAAGTATCTGGGGCAATCTTGCTTATAATGGTCTCTGGATCCACAACTGTAGCACTCTGTTGGATCCTGTGGCCCGTCTTGGAATGCTACTCTTTTTGTGTGTCTGGGTTCCCTACATGTTGGCTGGCGGCTCTTTCTCAGGTTGTCTTCTGCTATTAATTTGTTAGATAGTCTTTCTATGGATAGCTGGCTTAGGCTGTGAGTGTCTAGGTGTGCAATGAATGTGTCCCAGGTGGAATCTAGGGAGTTGACTATCACGGTCTTCATAGTTTGTTCTGACACAATCTCCCCCCTTAGGTGCAGCTCTGACCTGATAGCATTTAGTTCTAAAAGGTGTTCTCCCATGGGGACCCCAGGCCTTATTCTGGCTGAATAGAAATCCTTGGAGATCCTAGTTGTGGTAGCTACGCTTTCGCTGTAGAAAAGCCTAAACATCTTTTGTGTCAACTCAGATACAGTTAAATAATGCTCAATACTGGGGTACATGGGTGGTGAAATGCTGGAAATTAGTAGGTAGAATGCCCTGTGATGCATACAATCCTGCTCGAGAGTCCAGGGCTTCTCTGGGGGGTTAGTTATGAATAACAATACATTTTCCTTTAAGAACACTACCTGGAGTTGCTGGTACCACTCCAGCAGATTAGATCCATTCATCTTTAACTTTGGAAAGTCTTTAGCTAAATTCTCTGCGTTAAAGTTCCCGTTACTTACAGCAGTTGTCTGTCCCTGGTGTTGAATGTGTGGATATCCGCAGTATGGCAAGGGGATGCTTGTAGGCAATTTAAAAGTCCCTCCTTGTGTTTTTTTTTCTTCTTCTCTCCATAGGCTGCTCTGTGCATGCGCGAAGTCCATTCCAATCATGGAGTCGTCGGCGAAGGATCTTGCTGTGGCTGCTCCAGGTCGTGCTGGCCTCTGCTCTGCCCCCGAGGGTCCAGTGGCGGTCCGGAGACGTCCGAAGAGTCGCTCTCTCGCCGTGATGAAGTCCGTGTCCTCTTGGGCGTGCTCATGGTGGCGGTGAGTGCTGGCTCTGTTCTTCGCACTGCGGCGCGCTCGGTCTCGATCGCGTGCGTGGTTGGGTCCTCGGGGTGCGCGGTGGCATCGCTGGGCTGTCGTCGGTGTCCTCGTCCCTCGATCGGGTGGCCGGAGGTCTCCTCTCTCTGCTCCTCGCCCCCTTTGCTGTGTTGCTCGGTTTTCTCTGCACTTCCAGTTGCACCCCAAATGCGGCAGTGAGAGTCTTTATGGCTTCTTCTATCTGCCAGTCATTTGGGGGTGTCACGGTGTTCGACCCGGCATCTTCATCCCCTGAGCTACCCCCTTCTTCGCTGCTTTGGGGGTTGTAGTTTTTTCGCGCCAGTCATTTTGAATCTTTAAGTTTGATTGGCTGGTGGTTGGCCATCTTGGCGGACCATGTGGTCAAAGATGGCCGCTGTTCAAAATTCAGCCTGGCATCGATTCCCTCGGTTTCGGCGTGGGATTCGATTTGGTCAGGTTTACTTACCAGGTGGATGTCTCTCGGCTTCTTCGAGCATTTGCCGTCTTCTTTGGATGCCTCGCGGTCCTGGAACAGTTTCTGGATTTCGTTTATGAGGTCTTCATCGGCTGCAGTCGATCCCAGTAGGCTCAGTATCTCGCTCCTGAGCTCATTGCGGTCTGGGTGATCGGCTTCTTCGTCGCTTAGGCTCTCAACCCCCTCTTTGTCCTCGGAAGTAGAAATCTTGGGGTCTGCCTTGTCCTTGGGCCTCTCAGGAGTCTCCGCTGGGGAATCGCCATCCTGGGGATATAGTTCCTCCATCCTTTTCATATCTGATCTCGTGTGTGGTTTCTTCTTGTCTTCAGCAGGTACTTGTTTGTTTGTTTTTTTAATTTGATTTATATGCCACCCTTCTCCGAAGACTCAGGGCGGCTTACAATGTGCTCAGCAATAGCCTTCATCCTTTTGTATATTTATACAAAGTCAGCTTATTGCCCCCACAACTGGGTCCTCAATTTACCTACCTTAGAAAGGATGGAAGGCTGAGTCAACCTTGAGCCTTGGCGAGATTCGAACCCTGCAGTAATTACAGGCAGCTGGTCTTAATAACCAGCTTAATAACAGGGTGCCTTAAACCCCTGTACTACCAAGGTTTCTTGGGCATGTCTTCTTGTTATTGGTCCATTAAACCATCCTCTGCTACCATCTTGTTGTGAAAGGATTGAGGAAGAACCCAATAACATACAAAGACACTATTCTGGATTGAATCAGATCATCCTTTATTTACAGATGTTTCTCTTTACAGGTATCAACAACAACGACTGGAGCGACTTGGGGCGACCTTATGTACCTAGGGGCGGAGCTTCAGGTAAGGAGTGCCCAGGGGAAGGGAAGGGGACCAGAGGTGCTTGGGTTAACCCTTGGGGTGCCAGGTTAGGGGGAGTATATTGAGCAGGTATGACATTTATTTGTGACAAAAAATTAGGGGAGGGGATTGTTTTGCTTCATTTTGCATTAGAATCATTCAAATTTATAAAACAGGTCAAGACATAAAAGTTTCAAAGCTGAATCCTGTCACTATAGTAAATGTTTCTACACTGGTGAGGGCCCCACATATCTGAAGAGAACATGATGGAATGGAATCCCTTTTCTCTATGTGCTGTCTTTGTAGTAATTAAAAAAAAACCAATTGTCATCACAAATCATGACAAATTGTGGTTTTAAATATTATTGGTGGAATAGGTATAAATTCACTAAGTTTACATTTTCCTTAACTCAGATTGACCAGTCTTCTGGTTACTCTTAAGCATATGAGATGAGGAAGATCAAATATCCAACAGTAGTTAAAATGAAGATTCAAAAGAGGTGGGAAAATGTCACCAAAGTGCTGGAACACACAATCTTTATTTTGTGGGAAGTTGTCTTGCTGTTGCTGCTGCTGTATTATTTTAATCTGGTTTCTGGTTTAATCAAGTTTTTGCATTTCCTACTTCAGAACGGTGAAATACCATGCTGATTTTAAAATATTGGGCTAGAAGGCTCTGAAGGCCAAAAAAAAAGAGTTCAGGTATTGTAAGCTTCTCTTTAGCTCTGGATGTTGCAACTGCCCTAAATAATGATTTACAGTGTAAAATAATTGGATTTACAACCAGCCTAAGATATTCAGAATAAGAGCATACACAAAAAGTGGAAGACAATTTTTGATTTGGGGGATTAGAAAAATGTAAGGTGTGTGTGCTTAGGCTTCCTGCCCAGGCTACATGAAAAGCTAAAGCCACACAAACCACTTAGTGAGTGTAAATAAAAGCTTCTAAATTGCATATAACTCTTAAACATAGGATACACAATATTATTGTCAGCAGTTTCATGTTAATGGTGTGTGTATGTGTGTGTTTGAAGTGTAAGTTTTGTAATTATTTGCTCTCTGCTTAAAGTGATTAAATATTTGCAGTAGTTTATGATTACCCAGAAAAGAAACATGTTGTAAGTATTTTAATATGACTGGTTGCTAGGTTTAAGAGATAAAGCTTGTTTTAATGAAGGATTGATGTTTTGAGATAATAAAGTGTAGTGCTTAATTGTTAATTCAGATTTATTGAATTCTATAACCAGTTACCAATCTGGAATTTTAAAAATTATACTTTAAAAATAGAGTTGAGGCCAGATTTACAGTGGGATATAGAATATCTTAGAAATATTTCCACTTATAGTAATAACTGAATTTTCACTTATTTCAATTAAATAGAAATATATTTAACTGTATTTGATCCAATTCACTTTCTTTAAAGGCACTTAAGGAATATTTGCTTGGTCAGGATTTGCTTAATGTCTGTTTATTAATTAAATTCCAGTTGTGTTGGTTGACATTCCAGATTAAGCTATATACCATGCTTTAAAAACCATACATAGGGTTCATCCACACATCCAAGAAAGTGAGTGAAACAGTCATTTACAGACAACTCAAACAGTTTTTTCATTCTATAGCAGGCCATACTTTAGCTATTTGAGTCAAACACTCAGTTGATGCATACTTTAAGTATCCCTTAACATAGTTCTGTGTTAATCTTTGCTATTTTTATCTTCTTTTCTTTTTCTGAAAAGAACCTGGAATGATAAGGTAGCCCATTCCTCCTTTGGGTCTTAAAGTCTTTTTATTGACTTGTGTTCATAAGATTCAAAAAGTTACTGTCTCCAACACATGGAATAATTAAAAAATTAATTATTTAGCATGGAAAGCTAAGTCTGGAAAAAACAGATAAATAAATAGGTATAAAAATGCTACTTTCAACTTTGAAAGAATATTGATTTCAATTTTTACTGCATATCCAAATAAAGATAAGTAGGAAAATCTTATTTTGCCAGGTGAGAAAGTTAGTTACTGGAAAATGGCACAAAACTCCAACAGATCAATCTGATGCACAGGTAGATGACTGCAGAGTAATTAAGGGAGGCAAAGCATGACTTGGGAGTGATGATGTCCTCATGTCAATGCTATAACTTTGTACTTGCATACACTATCATTTTGATTTCATCATTGTTTGCTACAAATGGTACTTGTTTTGCAAGCTGGCCTATATGTGCTATATTTCTTTAGTTTCCCACAATTGGCTGGGATTACAGACCACTAATGTATCAAATCTGGTTTATAATCCAGAATGACTCTGTTATCATGACAAAGCAAAATGAAACAAACCACGCTGTGTGTCAGAACCAGATGATGTTGGTTAGTATGTTATGCAAAGCCGAACATAGACATAGACATCTGTAAATCAAGATTTATGGCTTAGATCATTTGAAAACTTAGTTTTTAGTGAAGATGGTTTACCTTATACTAATATTTATGTCCATGACTCAGTGTTAGGAACTAGAACCAAACTACAGTTAGATTTGATTTGATATTCATTTTGAGTTGATTAAAAATAAATCCTTTGTATTTATGATTCATTTCATTAAAATCAAAGTTTATTAATGAACTTTTGGAAGTCTTTGGGGATGTGTTCAACACTTTTGTGGCATCCTAGGGGCTTCAAGGCTTAAGCTAAATAAGGATCCCTAGCTTGCATAGTGCAAGTAACTCAGGAGTAAATAATTTAAAATAAGACACAATTGAAGTCCAAAATGATCAACCGTAATTTCAGGATTATCCACAGGGGTATGTATGTGGGTAAAAAACTTAAGATGACAGCCACAACTGGGCAACCAAAGCCTGAAATGTACAGACATAGATGTCAGCCCTACAAGATATATCTGACTAACAAACCAATGCCATATAAGTCAGCACAGCTTTTATTATAACAGCCACTGTCACAGAATCTTGCAAGACTGAATTTGTTTCCTTCATCCCTCACTTTATCTTCTTGTAAATTAGAGGGGGGTTTGTCTGAAACAATTTTTCAAATTAGTTTCTTGGCTGGGTCTCAAGCCTTACTTATCTAACTTGGTAGTAATTCTTTCTCTTCTCCTTGAAGGCCATTCCCTATTCCAGTGATGGAGAACCTTTTTGGCAATGAGTGCTGAAAAGGGAGCGCACGCACACGCATCTGGACCACAACCCAGGAGTTGCCCAGGGCACATGTGTGCACCCAAAAATGCACTGAATTTCCAGTTTCAGCCAGCTACTCTTCCGGTTTCTGGTGAACATGGGCACGTGACGATCAGCTGGCTGGCATGCATGCTCACGCAGGAAAATGGAAGGCCAGCTATTCTAGTTTCCGGTACTGCTGCATACAAAAAGACCAGCTGATTGTTGTGCAAGTATGCGCGCCAGAAACCCAAAAGAGGAACGAGTGATGCCATGCGTGCCAGACGACATGGCTCTGTGTGTCACTTCAGGCTCGCGTGCCATAGGCTTGCCATCACAGCCCTATTCCATCTACAAAAGACCAAGGAGAAGCAAGAAAAAGTCACAGCTTTGTTCAAATTTCTTATTGACAATTACTGTTGCTTGAAGCAAGCATCATGCAGAATCCCTTGCTCTCTATGTTAATTATGCTTTATGACAATTAAAAGCAAAAGCATGTTGACTACAATACAAACATAGAGCTGGAGAGAGGTTTATAGTGCATCAGAGGTGAGGACTTTATTTTGTTGAGGGCCACGTTCCTTCTAGCCCTAGTCTATTGGGAGAATGAATGGTGTACAGGAGAAGCAGTGGGTGAGGATACTTAGTCTCTCTTTGGTAGTAATTTTTCACCACCTTTTGACTTTCTCTTTTATCTCTCCTAATCTTCAAGGAAAGATAGATAAGAAACATTCTCAGTATGAAATGGTTTGCCTTCTTCTGAAATACTGTTTTGATTTCCCACTTTCGCTCATACCTGTGGGATTTTCTGGTTGTCTCCTATTCAAAAACTAAGCAAGATGATCTATTTAGCTTTGTCAAAGACAGTCAAAATTAGATAGGTGCTGTCACTAATTCTTAAAGAGCTAAACTAATCTTGGTTAATGGACTTGAAATTAGTCCAAGTGGCTACTACATTTGAGTTCTGGAGCTTTCTGCCATTTATGCAGAAGTTTAACTGAACAAAATGAGTCTTACTTCTGAGTAGACATGTATTGAATTGTACGGGGGCCTTCTTCATATTTTTCCCAGGTTCAAGTCCCTCAAATCAAGTTTTTACAAAATTTGCAAAAAAATAGATTAACAATTGAGGACCCAGATTATGGGGGCAATAAACTGACTTTGTATAAATATACAAAAGTATGAAGGCTATTGCTTAACGCACTGTAAGCCGCCCTGAGTCTCTGGAGAAGGGCGGCATATAAATCAAATTAAAAAAACAAACAAACAAAAAAAACAAAGTAGCCAACCAATATTAAATCATGGCATTGTATAAACACAGTTAGTTTGATCTATGTTTAGGTTTTGGCATGTTGTACATCAAGGTTTAATTAATCACGATGAACACACTGTGAGAACAGAGGCACTACAGGTCATAGCTCGTATTAGTCCCAAACTACTAGAAAAAAAGTCTGCTCTAGATATGGTACATGTGCATTGTGATTAATAAATAAGTTTAGTAACAAAACGAAAACAGGAGACATTTAAGTGTTGTTTGGGTAACTTAGCATTAGATTTACAAAAGCAACAAGTATGTGAAACCTATTGTACAAAATCAGCCATTGTGTAAGCAAGAAATGACAAGGGGGAAAAAACAAGGGGAAGAATAAAGGAAGATTGGCTTCCTATCACTGTAATGAACTTTGGAGTAATTCTTCAATAAAAATTAATTATGGTAGCTTTATGGTCTATAGGTGGATAAGAGTGCTGGAATGAGTTCCAAAGCTCCAACAGTTCCATCTGGCTACATTGTCCCATGTCAATCCATGATTAACTAAAGCATGATTAACTGAATGACATTAACTGAATGTAACTGCCTAAGTTAGCATACATATACAAATGGGCGAAACACATTTTAGCCTAATATGGTGGGCAAACTCTGCCTCTCCTTCTAAGGCTGCAATTGTTTAACTCTGAGTAAATATTATTGGCTTCAATAACTGCAGTTGCAGAGAATGTCCAAGCTCCAAAATCTCTTAATATCTGTGTGAAATCATTGTGCACAATGTGTGTGAACATAAATAAGGTCAAACTGATTTACCTGTCGTGATTTGACAGAGATGCCATCAGTTGTAGTGTGACCCTGGAAGATCACTGAAAGAAGGGTGTTCACAGGGAGTGGGCTACAATAGTCAAGATGGTGGTTGCAATCATGCAATACGAAGTTCCACACACTCCTTTAGATGCAGACTAAGGTAATAAAAGTGCAACACTGACTACACAATCATGGATGCCATCTTAAACTTTTGGACTCCTAGCAGATGTCCCTGATTTGAAGCCAAATTGCAATTTCTAACATAACAAAAATGTGAAATAATGAGTAGAAACCATGCCAATTGTATTTAACTGATATATCTTAAATTGCATAATAAAATTCTTGTTCTGGCCCTACCAACTTCTTGTATGCAGTCTCCAGCATATCTCACATAGGCCAGTATGGTTTTTAGCTGGATTAAGTTATACTCTTGCTACAATAAATAATACATAGGTTTGTTTCTATTGAGTCCATTGGCAATTGAATGGAATATCCATGCATTTGATTATGAGAATTGAGGAACAAGGAGGGAGAAGAAAAATGAATTTGGCTTTTTCACTCCAGGTTATTTCCTTCAGTTTGCCTTCTCTCCCCCAGTCTTATTCAATCCCATCTGTTTCCTTCATTTCCTGCCTTTCTAGCCTTCTGTAGTTGGGCATCACTCTCAGTCTTGGGGGAGATTTTTTTTAATTTAACCATTCCTCCTGATAGGCTTTTCTTCTATTTTCATGTTATTCTTTATTTTTTTCAGAATAGTGCTAGTTATTTCTTTCTCTGAAATCTTGCATTAAATATAAAATACCGTAGTAATTTTGTGTTGAATTCCATTAATTGATTTTATAGTAATAATGATTCACTTGATAATTTGAACATGAATTAATAACTGTAGCAACAAGAATGACCTGCCAGATAAAGATCTGAAGTTGATTAATAATCTGCTTTTCCTCAATTCATTGCTTACATTTAAATAAATTACATTTGCATATTAAAAAAGCATTAGAGGAAAACTAAAAGAATATGATTTATATCTGAATCAAATGAACTGAATATTTCTATTCATTTTTATAGCTAGACATGTTAAATATTAACAGTAAAATGCTTTTAATGTAATTTAATTATTTTTTAAAAGGCAGTCCAGTAATTTCATTAATCTCAGATCCAACTTCGGCTGAAGAGGTTGTAGAAAAAATGATTTTAAAAGTTTTTTAAAAAATGGCCACGCCCACCCAGTCACATTATCCCCCTACCAAGCCACGCCTACAGAACCGGTTATCAACAAATTTTACATTTCACCACTGGTCTGAAATATATCAGATTGCTTTAAGCTGGTAAACTCTATGGTGACTAAATAGGGGCCCAAACTTGGGTTTTCCCAGGTCAATTTTTGTGCTACTCAATTATCAATCTACTTATTAATTTCAACATAGTTTATGGTCAATTGTATTTCTGTTATAATAATCAATTTGGGTTGTAAAGATGGCAGCAAGTGATAAACAAAAATACTAATGTTTTGCTGCCCTGCGCCAGAATAAGAGAGTTGGAAGGGACCTTGGCGGTCTTCTAGTCAAATCCTCTGTTCAAGCCATTTCAGTCCTTATGTAACTGAAAGCAGTAACATACAGAGGACACAGATCAGGTACATATATTTTATATTCTAGAGGGTGCTTGGTTTTGCTATTATTGGGGGGAAATGCTGCCAGGTGGAATAACATTTACAAAATGTTGAGTTCTTCAGAACTCTAAAGTAAGGACATAACAGAAAGTAACTAACACTTTAGTTACATTTGCATTTAGATATAAAAGTCTTTTCCAAACTCTTGAGTGCTAACCATGGCCCTGTAGGATATCTACTACTAACACTGAGTTCCAATGTTATGATGCCCAAGTGCTCAAATGTGCTCTTTGTATTATAATGATAATCCTGTCGGCCCCCACAGAAATAGGTAGAGGAGGGGGAACAGGCAGTGGTGTAATTATTTTAAATATTTTATATACTGCATGCAATATACATGTATTATGAAAACTATTATTGGCTTCTTAAATGCAAAAACAAACAAAAATAAAAAAGTATACATCCAGACTTCAGGAACAATGTTTATGCTGGGGGGAGGGGCATCTTTGATGCAATTCTAACACTAATTCCTATCAAAACTCTCTTTTGTGTAACCTTCTACATCAGTGTGATACCCTAGCAGTCAGGAACCAGCACACACTAAATTTTGCTCCTCCCATATCGTTTTCATTTATTAGTGTGATGTTGTGGCCACTTGCACCTTTAAAAAAGGATATTGCTATATTGATAAGGGATACTTTATAATTGCTGGGAAATGAAATACCAATAAGGCACCAAAATGAAGGGCTTTATAACATATAATCTAAATTTAGCTAAGCCTTAATACTATGTCCCTGCTTGCCCCTTAGTTTTTCCTCTAAGTCAGGGGTGTTATCACAGCAGTATCACGTGATGTATTGGGACTTTTTCCTCCTTTGCTAAACTGGGCATGGGCATGGTCAGCGCATGACGCATTCTGCCCATGGGCCGTGAATTTGACAGCCCTGCTCTAAGCACTGAACCCCAATGATTTTCTTGGCCCCCAAAAGCCCTTCCATAAAGTATAGGGTTGAGCCCTTAGTGAGTTTTCTTTCTTTTTTTTTTATTGCAAAAGTTTTACAATTACATTTTCACCCCATTTTCCCCCCAACCCAGCCCATACTCCCCCCCTAACCCTCCCAACCCCCCCAACCCTCCCCCCTGACTTCCACAGAATGTAATCCCATCAAAATCCCTTTTATAAAACCTGAACCCCTCAAACCCCCTTCTAATTTTTCATCTTCACAAAATTCATACATTTCTATTTTTATATAATACTTTCAATGAAAAGCTATTTGATACTTCCTAGTTTGATATTTGTTCTGCACATAATCTATTCATTTTTTCCATTCCCATTCATAAGTCTCTTGTGAGCAATCTTTTAAATATGCTGAAATCTTCGCCATCTCTGCAAAATTGGCCATCTTCAAAGTCCATTCTTCAATAGTGGGCAAAGCATCATTTTTCCAGTATTTACCTATCAATAATCTCGCTGCTGTTATCATATACAATATCAACTTAGTTTCATCCAGTGTAAAACCCTTTACTATACCCAGTAAAAACAATTGTGGAGAAAATTGAATTTTTTTCTTCAAAACATTCTGCATAACCCACCATATTTTTATCCAAAAAGCCTTAACTTTCTTACAGGTCCACCAAACATGATAATATGTAGCATCTAAACAATCACATCTCCAACATTTTGGCTGAACATTAGGGTACATACACGACAACTTCTTGGGATCTAAATGCCATCTATAAAACATTTTATAAAAATTTTCCCTCAAATTCTGCGATTGTGTAAATTTAACATTCTGAACCCATATTTTTTCCCATGTTTCCAACATCACTGGTTCTGCAAAATTTTGTGCCCACTTAATCATACAATCTTTAACCAATTCAGTTTCTGAATCCCTTTCTAACAAAACATTGTATAACCTTTTAATATGCATTGGACCTTTCTCTTTTATATGTCTAACCAATTCTTCCTCATGCAACATAATACCAGTTTTTTGGTCCTCTTTCCATCTCAGTTGAAGTTGATTATACTGTAACCAAGTTAAATTAATCCCTTCGTCCAACAGTGTCTCGAATGTCTTCAGTTGCCATCTGCCCGCATCTGTAAAAAGAACCTCTTTATATAAAACCCCCCCGAGTGACATTATATTTGTATTCCACATGATATGACCAAGATCCAGCCATAACGGTATTTTGTAATCCCATTTGAATCGGTGCTTCTTCCAAACTCTCATCAAAGAGTCTCTAAGTATATGGCTTTTAAATACTTTATCCACTTTGTTTTCATAAAATAAGTAAGCATGCCATCCAAATTCAAGATCAAAACTTTCTATATTCAATATTCCAGTCTTTTTTCTTCCAAACCAATCGCTTGCTTGAGTTAAAGCTGCTGCTTCATAATATAACTGTAGGTTTGGAAGTTTGAGACCTCCCCTTTCTGGAACATCTTGCATAATTTTCAATTTCACTCTCGGTTTTTTCCCGTTCCAGACAAACTTATTCACTCCACTTTGCCATTCTTTCAGCTGTTTATCACTTTTAAGCCCCGGAATCATTTGAAACAAAAAAAGAAATCTTGGCAAAATGTTCATCTTAACTGCTGCTATTCTTCCAAGTAGGGACAGCTGCAGTTTTTTCCAAATCTCCATATCTTTCTGTACATCTCGCCACAACACCTCATAATTATTTTGAAACAGTTTTATATTTGATTCTGCAACCTGAACTCCTAGATATTTAACCTTTGGTACAATCTCAAAACCTGCCCTCCTTTCAAGTTCGTGTTTTCGATCTTGTGTCATATTTTTAACTATCATCTTAGTTTTTTTCTGGTTCAATCTAAATCCTGATACTGTACCACAGTCTTTTATAATGTCTTTCATCTGGATTATTGATTCCATCGGCTGTGTTAGGGTAACAACCAGATCATCTGCAAATGCCCTTATTCTATAATCCTCT